CCCCCAAGATCCAGCCATTGGAGGCTGCAAGCAACTCAAAGGGATCGCAAGATCAACAACCGCCAACACACCAAGGCAACCAAACGGCCGGATCCAAGATCCGCCACCGGTGATCCACGTCCGACTGTTCACGTAGGCTCCGAATCAACCTACTCGGCAACAGAGCGAAGACCTTGCGCGCTGTTACCCCACACCCCTGCGTCTTGCCAAGACATTCAAGATCTTCAACACTTGGACCTCTCCTGTAGTTACCGGAGGAGCAAGATCCAGCCCTACCGACGGGTACACAAGGTGAGGAAGTTCAGCTGATCACGGATCAATAGGAGTACCCCCTAGTACCCCCTCCTATAGTCGGTGTCCTGGGCACAGGGGCAAGCCGGATTCAGCATCTTCGCAGATTTTGCTGATCCCGCTCCACCACTCATGGCTGTGGACGCTTGCACGGAACAGGGTCACCAAATCCTGTCGGTGGTGGTGGTGACGAACTTGAACACACGTGGGAGTCACCATGGCCCACATGCTGCAGCGGAGTTGAAAGTCTTGGTGGCAGTCGCCAAGCCCGGCGCTGCTTCCGTCTTTGGTGCCCAGGAACGCCCTATCTCCTACTCACGGTCCCACACGGGGGGACTTCTTCCGAGAAGGGAGATCCTCCGAAGAGTCGCTGGAAGAGTTCCTGGAACCACTTGTGCCAAACGGCACGAATGACGAAGTGAGCGAGTTTTCGTCGAGAAGAATCTTGTTATTGGGGTGTTCTTCGATCTTTTGCGTGGCATCGCTTCAGCAGACTTCAACAGCCGTTGTAGCTCCAAGTGGTAAATGAAAGATTCTAAAACTACAATCGGTGCAGCTCCAACTGCTATCTAAAATGGGATCGACGTCCCCATCTTATATGGAGCTTCACCCCTGTAGTAGACTATAATACTGCTGCAGCCACATCGAATAATCAGCCACCCGAACAATCAAATTGGGATTCACGTCCCAATTTTTTTAAATTTAAAAGTGTTGAAACATTTTGGAAAAAATCGAGAATTAGGGATTGTCCCACCTTTCTATTCAAACTGCAACTTTTGACCTGAATGGTGGCGTGTCCGCCGTGCTTCCGACTGGAAGCTACACGGGGTCCTCACAACGGCGTGTTCCTTGTCCACTGCCACGTCAAAGCATGTGTTGCGTCCCCCAGCTCTTCAGCTTCTTCGCTCTCTATCGGCCGGAAGAAACGCTGCTCGCTGCGTCTGCCCAAAGACTTGGAAGTGTCGAGCGTCCACGCTGAGTTTCGCTTCGTAGCGAACGACACGAGAGTGATCTTACGAGACGTCAAGAGCACGAACGGCACGAAGCTCAATGGCCAACTCCTGAAGCCTCATAAGGACTTTCCCTTGAGTAATGGAGACCTCATCGGTGTGGGCAAAACCAGTCTGCGCTTCGTGCAGGTGCAACATGGACTGCCGTGTGGAGAAGAGGCTGGCAGTGTTAAGGATACTAGTACTGTACTAACATCTAGTGCTTCGTCTTCAATAACTCCAGGGGTGATAATGGTGGATGAAGACTCTGGGGGAACAGCAGAGGGTTCTAATGCAGCAAGAACGAGTGACCCACCAACAGATCAACCAGATATAGAGCCAGGAAAAGAGCAGTTGGTGGGCATGAAACAGCCAAAGAATGTTGTGGCTAGCATAAAGGAGGGAACGAAAGATGTGGGATTGAGTTTGGCGCCAAAACTGACGTCTGCCGAGAAAAGAGGAAGCAGAATTGAAGTTTTGAATCAGAGTACACTTGACCAAGCTACTTGTTCGGTGTGCAGGGTGGTGATCGGACAATTGGATCTGCTGGAGCAGCAGGCACACCTAAACGAGTGCCTCGGCGGCCGCATTACTGCCTTCTCTACGGCTACTAGGATGGCCGTTGACAAAGTTGCACAACCAAAGACTCGAAAACTAGGAAATGCTACAGGTGGGACCACTCGGACTAAAAGACCAAAGGAACTGAACACAGGTGAATATGGTGGCACAGTTACAGCTACTACTATAAAGACTAAAAAACCGAGGAAAAGGAAGCGAGTTGATGCTGGAGAAAATATAGAACTGACGCTGGCGCTAATGAACAAAACGACGATGAGCAAAGAGGAACAGACAGATACACAACTCGCCGTTACGAAGAAGAAATTCGAACAACTTGATGAGCAAATCGCCAAACTTGCTAAAAGGCGCGCAAACCTTGTGAAAACATTGGACAGATTGGAGAGGACGAAGGAAAAGTTGCGAAAATCTCATGTTCTACCGCCAGCCAAGGTACTTAAGCTCCTGGATATTGAAGCTGCATTAGACGCAATTTTTCCAAGCAATCTTCTGGCCAAACCAAGTGATCAGTATAGACACGAAAAGGTAGCAGAAAGTTATTCTGCAGTCGCGAGGCAGTATATACCTGCGAGGTGGAATGAAAATGGGATGACGACAGATTGTGACAAAGACGAGCAAGCTGAATTAGCTGTAGTAGCCGCCATTTCCATGTGGGCACGAGCTTCTCAGCAGCTTTTCGGCCTACAGCGCAATACACTGCTATACCGCAATAATGTCCTTCGGGCGTATCTTGATGATGACAAGGATGCTGATAGCAGCGTCATGAATCTGGACGGTGTCGGCGACGTAGATGACAAGGATGTAGATACACGCGTTGAGCACCAACAAGTAGAGTCAGAACAGAAAACAGTTTTACGGTCCACGCGTCCAGATCTCAACGCAAAATCTAGTCGCACAGACGTCCCGAATGTTGTAAAGTGCGTGTTCCCAAACTGGCAGCGCGATTTATCTTTCCTACACGATCAAACGGTGGGAGAGCTTGAAATGGCATTTACGACTATGAATGAGACCCAAACTCAAACCGATGGTGCAGCAATTAATAATGGAGAATCACGTCGAATAGATGACTGCATGACTGATGTGAGCGAGGGACACGAAGGTGCAGCATCCAGAGTTATGGCCTCGACGAACCACCTCTCGACTCGAGAACAGCAGCGCCTTGCCTGCAACTA